GGGCAAAATCAGCAAACCAAGGTCTAGGTTGGACCAAAAACAGTTTTTCATCCGGGAATTCTTCTCGTACTTCACTTTCTTGATTTGTCACTTCCACATTGACCAAGCGGGATAAGTGATCCGCCACCAAGTTTTCAAAATTCTTCTTATCGTGAATTTCTAAATCAGATTCTTGCAATAAAAGAATCCATCAGATAAGCCTTTGCTTTGAATCTGGCTTGGTGAGAAGATACTTAATCGACGAATGGTTAATGTACACCACAACCTTCAAACCAATAAGATAAGACCTAAACTTCTCTAGAGCATACACTATTATGAGTAATTCTTTTTCAGTTGTTGTGTAATTCGGTTGCGCTTCATTTAAAACCTTACTCACATAATGTATGACATGAAAATATTTTGTCTTTCTCGCACCAACCGCATCATCACTTGCGTCACACATTAATTCAAAATTGAGAGTCTAATTTGGAGTTATGATTATGGGTGCGGTGATCAGTTTTTCTTTCAAAATTTTAAAAGCTTTTAAACAATCATCATCAAAGAGAAAAAACTTATCTTTATTGAGCAAATTGCTCAAAGGTCTTGCTATTTTTGAGAAATCTTTGATGAATCTCCGGTAAAATCCCACGTGACCATGGAAACTTCGATTCCCTTCACATTTGTTGGTGGTGGAAACTTCTCTATTACTTCAATCTTTGCTTGGTCAACTTCAAGGCCTTTGGAGGAAACTTTGTGGCCTAACACGATTCCTTCCATAACCATAAAATTGCACTTTTCCCAATTAAGAACTAGATTAGTTTCCACACACCTCTCTAAAACGGTTTCCAAAATTTTCAAGTATAGTTCAAAAGAAGCCTCGAAAACGGAGAAGTCATCCATTAAAACTTCCATGGTCTTCTCAATAAAATAATAAAAGATGGCTTGCACGCACCGTTGAAAAGTGGTTGATGCATTGCATAAGGAAAAATGTATCTTTCTATACGCAAAAATCCCAAAAGGACAAGTAAACGCCGTTTTCTCATGGTCTTCCAGATTAATCGTAATTTGGTTATACCCAGAATATCCATCTAAAAACAATAGAACTCTTGACCCGATAACCTTTTGAGCATTTGATCCATAAAAGGCAACAAAAAGTGATTTTTCGTGTTGCTTGGTTAAGCCTTCGGTAATTAATGCACATCCGCCAATCCGTTACGGTCCTTGTTGGAATCAATTCATTCTTTTCATTTCTTATCGCAGTCATACCTCATTTCTTTGGAACTACTTGTACCTGACTCACCCTTGTACTATCGAAAATCGGATAGATCATCCCGACATCCAATAGTTTCACTACTTCCTTCCTCACAACCTCTTTCATTGTAGGATTCAAGCGGTGTTAAGGTTGAGCAACCGGCTTGAAATCCTCTTCCATAAATATTTTATGCATGCAATAAGTCGGACTAATCCCCTTGATTTTGTAACGCAACGATTGCATAAAAATTATAATCAACGGTAAAAAAATTTCGGTTTTAAACGATTGGTAAAAATATGTGAAGATTAGGGCTCGAAAAATCTATTTCACACATTTTCTTAACAAAGCATGTTACCTCATTAACAACAAATATAATCACATATCCTCTCAATATGTTTCATCTCTAAAACAAATTGTGATTTTTATCATATTGATCCTTAGATGATCTCTCAACCTAACTATCAATATGATAACATTAAAGGTTTAATATTAGTGAATATCAACTCACAAAACTATCTCTAAACCTTGTTTATTGAAAGATAAAAAAACTAGGTTACTAGTTGAAACATATTTCTCAATAATGATCCAACATAAATATACAATAAAGACAAGGTTTTTCACCATATATTCATCATCAATTTGTTCACATACACATATCAAGAGAAATACATACAAAAGTGAGGATTATCTATCTCTAATCTTGACACAAGGAGAGATTTAACTACTCATAACCATGGTAGCTTGAGCAACAAGTAACAAACAAAGCTTTTGGAGCATCAAACTTGAAAGGATCAAAGATTGAAGCTTAAAAGCTTTGATTTCAAAGTAGAAATGAAGAACATGACTTTTTTCTCTTTACAAAAGGTTATAGGTTACAAAAGATTCTTAAAAAGTAAGTTATGTTCCAAAAAAATATCACAAAGTGCTAAAATACACATGTTCTGCCCAGGCAACTTCGTCGGGAGAGCCACAGAATTCCCCGTGCGAAATCTTTTAGTACAACCACGTGACAACAACAATGCAAACAAGCTGAAAAAAATATATGAATTCGCCAGGAGAAATAAAGCTTCGTCGGGGGAATCCCTTTCGCCTCTCCTTCGCCAGGCGAATTAGCCAGCGAACCAATTACAGTAGCTACTGTAATTTCAAACTCCTTTCGCCTGGTCTCTCTCTAGGCCTTCGCCGGGAGAAACTTCCCTTTCGCCTCTCCTTCGCCAGGCGAAGGTCTTGATTTCTTCGACACGCGACTTTCTTTGTTTCTTTACTTTTTCTTCCGATTTTTGCCGCACCCTTTTTACAAAATATGCTGCAAAACTAACAAATATATTAAAAATACCAAATATATAAATTGATGCAAGAATCACTTAATAAATAAGTTGCAATCAGAAGTATGAAAAAGAACTTAAAAATGTCGTAAACTGATACGAAAAGCATTCTAAACTTGACACCTATCACCTAGTAAGCAAAAACTTTGCAAGAACCATACAGTTCAACCAATCCTTTTATATCACATATGTGATATACATGCTTGACATTGCCTTTAACCTCGTATATGTCCCTAACTTAACCAAAACACTTAATTGCCAATTGATTTTTTAATGATATTGATAGTGTAATACAATATACATGCTCCAAGAATATGATTGACACAACTAAATTGAATAATGGATTGTATCTCTTGACCTCTCCATCTGTTACCTTGCACAACACTCCACCTAATCACTACACTGATGTCATACATCCTCGCATCTTAGATAGATCTCACAATTGTAAGTTTTGACACTTAATACTTGGCCACACTTCACATGGAAAATTACTCGAGCTTAATAAAAAAATTCTTTTATCAAACTTGTCACTCATGATTTTCCATGTGATATTTGTTTTTATGCTAAGCAAAAGAGATTTCCTTTCTCTCTTAGTTCTCATATCTCTAGCTATGTTTTTTATTTGGTTAATATGGATATTTGGGACTCTCTACCCATACCATCTATGATGAGTTATAGATACTTCTTAATTGTTCTAGATGACAAAAGTATATTCACTTTTTTTTCTCATGAGACAAAAATCTGAAACATCATCCATCATTAAGTCTTTTGTGTCAATGATAAAGACTCAATTCAATCTTCACATAAAAAGCATTAGATCTGATAATGATAGTGAAATCATTCTCATAGACTTTTACAAACAATTAGACATTATTCATCAAACATCATATATTGGTACTCATCAACAAAATGACATTGTTGAAAGGAAACACCGCCACATCCTTGACATAACCATGGTTTTTTCACTCATCTACCCCAATTTGAAATTAAAAATCCCATAATACCACACCCTGAAAAATATTTACGAATCTACCCCACTTTCAGTGTGGGTTCGTTCATTCAGTTGGCGAACTTATGAAGGGAATTTGGTCCAAGAGTGAGCTTGTCCATCCAATGGACGAGCATGTGAAAGACCAATTTTTTTTCTGTTTTATTTAAATTAATAATTTACTAATTAATAATTTACTATAAATAATAATTCATATTTTATAAGTTACTATAAATACTATAAACAAAATACATTTCACTTATATCAAATTATTTATAGTATTTAAAAATACCATAGATAATAATTAGTATTTTATGGTATTTTATAGTATTTAATATTTAAAAATACCATAAATAATAATTAGTATTTTTAAATACCATAAATAATTTGAGATTATTATTTTTTTCTGTTTTATTTAAATTAATAATTTACTATAAATAATAATTCATATTTTATAAGTTGCTATAAATACTATAAACAAAATACATTTCACTTATTTCAAGTTATTTATAGTATTTAAAAATACTATAAATAATACTAATTATTAATTTTTAAAAGTTTATATTAAAAGTCTAATAATTGGTATTATCTTAAATATAATAATTATCTTAAATACCAATTATTTAAAAATTAATAATTGGTATTATATTAAAGAAATGTATACTATAAACAAAATACATTTTACTTATAAAATACTATAAATAACTTATAAATACCATAAATAATAATTAGTATTTTTAAATACTATAAATAACTTGAGATAAATGAAATGTAGTTTGTTTATAGTATTTATAGTAATTTATAAAATATGAATTATTATTTATAATAAATTATTAATTAATAAATTATTAATTCAAATAAATTTGTCAACTGAATGGACGAATCCACACTGAAAGTGGAGTAAATTCGTAAATATTTTTTAGGGTGGGGTATTATGGAATTTTTAATTTCAAATTGAGGTAGATGAGTGAAAAAACCCATAACCATAACTCTTTTATTTCAAGCTCACTTACCTCAAGTTTTTTGGGCAGACGTTGTTGGTCATGTTGTACACATGATAAATAGACAGCCTACACTTTTCTTGAAACACAGGTCAGCCTATCAAATTCTTTATAACAAACTACCAAATATCACCAACTTAAAGTTTCTTCAAGTTTTTCACTTCAATCATGTTCTTCTTTAAATAATGTATTTTTCAATCTATCCTCTAAAACCTACTTAAATTGAATATCTGGCTAAAAAAGTCACGTGTGTTAGATATTGTGGATAAGGATAAGTTCTCATTATTTTTTATAGTACAACTTTTTTTGTTATAAAAACAATAATGATGACGATAATAATAATAGCATTTGGCAGTGACTCACATGGTGTGGGACACTTATGATGATCATATCATAACCTTTTTCTAACATTTAAACAATGTCTTCTAAGTTAGCTCTTACTACTTGTGTAGCAGCAAAAGAAAATGGTAGACCAATCCATGCTACTATGCTGCAAGTTCTTTATATCAGAAGGACGCAACATTGCTACTCTTGATTCAGTTGAACGAGCAGCGAGGTCGAACTCAGAAACAGTCATTGTCAACAAATTTCATGATAGAACTTACAACAGGGCAAGGTACAACCTTGTATCGTATGTTTTGCATGATTCCACAGGAAATGTCATATACAGCCCCCTACATCAAACTGTTGTGGCCATGGCCGAGGCTGCATTCAATGCCATCAATCTTGAATTGCAAGACGGGGCTCACCCCCGTTTAGGTGCAGTTGATGACATTGTTTTCCATCCACTTGCTCGTGCATCACTGGATGACGCCGCGTGGTTGGCAAAAGCTGTGGCAGCAGACATTGGCAACCAGTTCAATGGTAAGCCATCATAGAATATAATGAATTCTGATATGCTGATTTTTCATTTTAGATTAATAAAATCCGACAATTTTAAGCACATCATAGTATCATAGACTTAATCGACTTAATGCAAGAGAGTTTCATCCCTTTTTCATTTGACACTTGCATTACATTTTTTTGTATGTGAAAATGTAGTACCTGTGTTTCTTTATGCTGCTGCACACCCAACAGGGAAACAACTTGATACAATAAGACGGGAGCTCGGATATTACCGACCTAATTTCATGGGAAACCAATGGGCAGGGTGGACTATTCCTGATATCCTACCTCAAACACCAGACAAAGGTCCAATGGTTGTTTCAAAATCCAAAGGAATCTCGACGATTGGTGCGCAATCTTGGGTCACACTCTACAACATACCAATCTTATCGAGCGATATATCAGCAGCAAAAAGGATTGCCAGGAAGGTTAGCACTCGTGGAGGCGGACTTCCTATGGTGCAAACACTCGGGATTGTTTGTGCGGATTCCACTGAAGTAGCTTGCATGTTGTTGGAGCCTAACCGGATTGGAGCTGATAGGGTGCAGAGTTTGGTTGAGATGTTGGCAGCACAAGAAGGATTGGATGTAGAAAAAGGATACTACACTGACTTATCTCCAGAAATGATAGTAGAACAGTACATGAACCTAACCTCTGCTAAAAAAACGTCACCGTAGCGAGTTATTAATTGTCATTTGGCATTGCAATTCAGTAAATTGAAATAAGTTGTAATCGCCTTAATGGTTGGATGAGAAATTGAAGCATGTACTTCTATAAGTGTTGGATGTTACATCTAACTTTGAAAATGATGTACTATTAACTAATTGCTTATCATTAATGTATGGTTTACTATAAGCATACTTTTGTATGCATGAAAAAAAATGAAGTTTCCATTAACTCACATGTTTACAGAGATGTCCCTTCTTGTGTGACTATAGCAGAATTTCACTCTTTTCTCTCTTACTGTTTGCGTTGGAGCAAAAGACAACGGTAGGCCAAACCATGTTATTATGCTGTAAGTTCTTAGTCTCGGATGGGCGCAACATTGCTACTCTTGATACAATTGAATGAGCAGCAAGGTCGAACAAATTTCATGATAGAACTTAGGGCGAGGTAAAATGACGTTAGCCACCAGAGCAAAAGTGGTTGATTCTAACAAACAGCCAATGACGGGGCGAATAAGCGGTGGCGAGCCCACTTAGTTAAGTTCATAGTTTTATCATGTTAATGATTTTATGTAAAATTAATCACATCGTAAATGTATTACAATATTTTCATTTGAAGAAATAAGAATATTCTATATATATACATATATATATATATATATATATATAATTTTTTGACTTTGAAAGGTAACGATAAATTTGGGTATGATTGAGGAAATCGAAATCCCGCTCCAAATACTTAAGGGTGCTTTCATAAACGTCGCAGAGCTACGAATAAAACAATTAAACCCCCATAGTACAAAACATACACACAAAGAAAATGGCAAAATCATTAAATTGTCAATAACCAAGTCACTCCCTTCTTGGTAGCTAGCTATTCTAGAGGTTGCAAGGGGTCTAAAACACGTCAACATTGGACCAAATTTATACATGGGTGGGGAAAGGGTACCGACCCTAGGTCGGGCATGGCCCAGAGACGTCCAATAAACTTTGGTCGAAAATCTTATAAGTTAAAGTAAAGCCTGAAAGGATAAACTAGGGATCTAACACACACACATTAAGTAGGTAACCACGATATCCAAATTTCAAATTTACATATACACGTTATCTAATGCAGAGTGTTACATTTGCATAAGTGAACCGAGCAGGAATGTCTAAAAAAAGAAAGAAGAGAGAGAGGGGTAAGGCATGGTTAAATTTGAGTAAGACAAAAAATTTCAACTTTGACTATTTAATCTCACTATACTTGCTCCTTCAAAATGCGTAAAGGAGAGTAAAAATGCTCTACTTAAAATAAAGCATTCTCAAAAGAGGTAAAGATAGTCAAAAGACCGGCGTCAGGCGCTTCATCTAATTTTTGAGCCAAAGAGACATTCTTAAAGTGCAAATTCTCGAGATCCTCCCAGGCAGTCAAGAGAGATTCCTTTGTAGCACACAACAAAGTCTGAGCATAAGTCATAGATTTATCTTTCTTTGTCAATTCTCTCTCTAGAAACTTTACCCATGCAACTAATGAGTCAGGGAGATTGAAAGTACTCAAGTTGTCGTCTATTCCAGTAAGAGAAACAAAAGCCTTATGTAATCACGTTGAAGCGCCAGATCACATACATTGTCCTGCAAAAGTTGTATCTCTTTATGATGAAAATAAATTAAGAGAACATCCATGCGACCAATCCCACCAATATCCAAAATGGTTTTCTTCGAGTGTAATACGTATGGGTCTACAACTATTTCTCGAGAGCTTCGTCGGTCATGTTAACTTAGAGTGCAGAGGCACCGAAAACTGCTGTTTTATTGATTGATGCGTTAGCATAACAAGAATTACAAACTGCTTAATAAAGCTGTAAGCCACTAACAATATATTCCTAAAATTCAGCACCCACTACTTACTCAATCAATTATCCCTAAAGACTAGGACAAACTCAAAACAAATCAGTTACCAACATAAATAATATAATAAATTAATTTTTCTAATATTCTCCCTTAAACTGAAAGTTTTCAAACATTCAGTTTATCACACACGCCCAACAATGCTCTGAGCTTCTGAAATGCAGCCAGCTTCAATGGCTTGGTCATTATATCGGCAATTTGGTCTTCAGTTCTGCAGTAGTGAAGTTCAATCACTCCATCCTTTGTGAGATTCCGGATAAAATAAAATTTCACGTCTATGTGTTTGCTTCTTCCATGTAAAACAGGATTATTGGACAGTTTGATAGCTGAACTGTTGTCGCAATATATTGCAGTAGCATTAACTTCCCTTTCCTGCACAAAATTGAGCCCTTCAAGAATCCTCCTATGCCAAATTGCTTGACAAGCACATGCTGTTGCAGCAACATATTCTGCTTCGGTAGTTGATAGGGTGACTATCTCTTGTTTCTTTGATGACCATGAGATGGCTCCAGAACCCAGCATAAAGACATAGCCGGAAGTACTCTTTCTATCATCAATATCTCCAGCATAATCACTATCTGTATAGCCAATCAGATCTGGATTTTCTCCCTTCTTGTAGAAAACTCCAAAACTAGTAGTACCTCGCAAGTACCTGAGAATTCTCTTTGCAGCCAAGAGATGACTCTCCTTAGGATTTTCCATATACCTGCTGATCAAACTTACAGCATGCATGATATCAGGCCTCGTTCCTATTAAATACATCAGACTCCCCATGATTTGCTTGTAAAGGTGGCTGTCAACCTTCTTTTCATTCGAATTTCGAACAAGTTTCAAACCTACTTCAGTAGGTGTAGTAGCACAATTGCAATTTGACATCTGAAATCTGTTCAGAATCTCTTGCACATACTTCTTTTGTGAGATAAAAATGCCAGCTTTTGATTGCACAACTTCTATGCCGAGAAAATAATGCATCTTCCCTAAATCAGACATATCAAATTCCAACATCATAGATTTCTTGAACCTTTCAAACATGCTGAAATCGTTCCCTATATATATCAAATCATCCACATACAAGCACACGATCAACAATTTTCTTCCTTCCCTACTTTTCACAAAAAGTGTGTGTTCAAAAGGACATTTTTCAAACCCTTCCTTCAGGAAGTAAGTTTCAATTCTACTGTACCAAGCGCGTGGTGCTTGTTTTAATCCATACAAAGCCTTCTTTAGTCTGTAGAATTTGTGCTCACATCCAAACTTCATGTATCCAGGAGGTTGATCAATGAACACCTGCTCCTTCAAATCACCATGTAAAAATGCTGATTTTACATCCAATTGGAAGATGGGCCATGAATTTTGTGCAGCTACAACAACCACCATTATAATTGTATCATGTCTTGCAACTGGAGCAAATACTTCAGTATAGTCCACCCCAAACTCTTGCTTGTAACCTTTAGCGACAAGTCGTGCCTTGTACTTGTCAACTTGTCCATCTTCCTTGAATTTTGTCTTATACACCCATTTCACACCAATTGTCTTTTGCCTTTGTGGAAGATCAACCAACTCCCAAGTGTTGTTCTTCTCAATAGAAGCAATTTCTTCATCCATTTCTTTTTTCCACTTTGGTTCCTTAATAGCTTCTTCAAAAACCATGGGATCACAATCCGTAAGAAATGCAAAGTGTGTTAGTTGACATTCTGATTGATTTACTCCAGTCACCTCATAATCAATCATCCAACCAGGCCTTCTTTTATCACGCCGAGGACGAGGTTCTGAAGTTGATGTTGCTGGTGAGCGACTTCTTTTATCATGCCGAGGACGAGGTTCTGAAGTTGATGTTGCTGGTGAGCCAAGAGTATGCACAGAACTATCAGCTGCTGTTTCTGCGGGTTGCTGTTGTGTGGACCGGTGCTACACACTTGAAGTTTCAGTGCCTCAAATTCTGCCTTCTGCGCATCTGTTTGAACTGCTCCCTTCACAGGCTCTATAAATCTGGAGTCAACGACTTGTCAATATTCTTTGGATCTCAAGAAATTCTCCATTAACATGCTCCAAGGGTCGTAATGACCATCAAAACGAGGAATTGCAGCCTGCACAAAATTCTCATTGGAAGACGCCATCGATGATGTTTTCGCTCAAATCTCACTGTGTTTCACTCAGATTTTTCTCTAAATGAACCAACTCTGATACCACTGTTAACTTAGAGTGCAGAGGCACCGAAAACTGTTGTTTTATTGATTGATGCGTTAACATAACAAGAATTACAAACTACTTAATAAAGCTGTAAGCCACTAACAATATATTCCTAAAATTCAGCACCCACTACTCACTCAATCAAATATCCCTAAAGACTAGGACAAACTCAAAACAAATCAGTTACCAACATAAATAATATAATAAATTAATTTTTCTAATAGGTCATGCTGGCGAGGTAAAAGCAACTCTTTTCCAAATTAGACACATATTTCTCTTTTAGAGTATGCAATCCCGACCAAGTCAAGAAGACAAGAGTCGAAATGCGTAGAGCTCACAACACTCTTCGATTATCACCGAGAATATCAACATGAAGGGTGGAATCTGGTGCAATTCCTCCTCGAGACTGTGGTAAGTCTGATTGAGAAGACAAAGTTAACCTTCTTTCCATTCTAATGAGAGAAGGAATGTTGTCCGACGCTGGAGCGTTCAAAGGGTAGGCAATCGTCAAGATAATTTGAACTCCCCTCTTCATTTGGTGAGTTATCTTCTCACACTTCATTAAATCAACATATGACAATTAGCAAAATATAAAGAACATGAGAGGTAAAAATGGCTGATATCGAAGTATTGAGGTACTATAAGCTTACCAAAGATAACCTTCCTCTTCTCCTTAGTGTTCACATCCATCAACAAGAGGGTTTCAACGAGATGTTTCTAGTGTTTCTTTGAGGATTCATTCCAAGGAACAATGCCCCTAATGTAACCTAACTCTTTGAAGAATATGATTAATCATTCCTTGACTTCAGCATTTCAAATGTTCACACAATCACTCAACCAACCAACAAAGCAACAAATGCGTATGCATAACCACAACCTGAAGTGGAAATTAATGTCGAACAACCATATCCACTAAGCATAGAGGAATTGGA